AGAAGACAATTAGTGAAGTTTCTACAAAGGATACACAGTTTCCCGCAACTCCTGCTAGAACCTATTTCTGATGGTGCTGGTTCGATGTGTGATATATGTTGGTACTTCTCTGTGGAATAATTCCAAACGATGAATACCATGTCTGTTGACGATACTGATTTAATTGCCAAGATCGGACGAAAGAGGTAGGTTTTTATTCCTTAGAATACTGATATTTCAAACGTAATTCAAATACGTTACTTCCCTGTCGAACAAATTAATATCATTATTTATGCTTATGTCTGAGCCTTGGCGGGCCTCAGTTGAATTAATTATTTCATTGTTTAACTATATCTTTTCACATGAAATTTCCTTTACATTAATAATAAAAATTCAATCATCGTGGGTATTTCATTAATGCCAAATATGATATCACAAGTTGTTTACACTTGTTGTAAGTACTGGTAGAGAAACGGTAAAATCGTGTGTTTTCATTTACAAATATAAGTCGGGCGTTTATTAAGTCCAAAACAAATAAGATTATATGACTGAGAGTATTGAAATTTCAAAATGATTTCAAATCTTTTCTGTGACCAACCGATTTTTAGTTCAGTATTTGAACTCTCTGTGAAAGACGGTTCACTAATACTCACTGGAAACGTACTTATCACTGAACCAATGCCAGTGTCAGATAATGGTTTTTTCATTTCTGTAACCAGAGACCATGGTATCTTATGATAACCATTAAATAGCATAGCAACTCAATATGGCCCAAATATTAGCCTTATCATGATTGAGAAGCCCAATATCAAATATGTAGAGGAAAAACAGAGAGAAATCTGTTTCTTATCCGTCAAGTTAGTCATGTTTGTGTACTTAGGCCCCTAAGTTATGGCGGCGCGTGCGTGACGTCAGCACAGGTATATTCCGCGCGCGCAGGGCAAGCATCACGTGTCTCATGCGTCAGGGATGGTATTTGAAGTTCTCCACGGTGGAGGAATAACGGCTGGGTCTGTTTAGGGAGGAAATGCTTTTCGTTGATGACCTTTCTGCTTTTTTGTCAGAGATATCCTAAACTATTTATGTTGGTCATACAAGTCATATGAACAAACAGTGAACTTCAAATCTACGGTAGATCATGGTAGGTCATAATATGTTCAGCACAACCATTATTAATATTTCTGGTTGAACAAGTCGTCAAGGATATAGTCTTGAAAGAGTAGAATGAAGAATATATCTATCATGAAAACGTTTCCATGACGTCAAAGAGCGCCCTCTGGTGGTACCGAGTTCTCACCCCACCATCGGAGTCTTTGAGCTATAAAAAGATTTTCTTCACCCTGCCAATCTTTCTCTAAACATTCGCTGAGACTGAGTCATGACAAGCGTAACCAGTAAGAATAATACATATGCAGCATTGGGGCCAGGTGCTTCTGTGAATGGGGTGGAAACATGAATGGTTAACCATTTCCGATAAATAAATGACGTATTTAGATGATCGAGTGACAAGATATGCGGATGCTATTAACATGGTTCTCATCCATCGGTGCTGTATCACAAACTCTTTGTCCCATGCCAGTGCCTTGTTTCCAGAAACGCCAAACTCCACCCGCCTACTTAGTTGATCGTTTAGCTCGCCCACCCTCACGGGACGCCCCATTAAAAACTCAGCACTACCGACCTTAAAAAACAGACCTGGTTTTTACGTCGTTAGCCAATAGACCTTGTCTCTCCTATTTATATAGCATTTAGATTAAATATTAGCTGGAACCAGGTTAACCAGAAAAACACCAAAGCGTTCAGTCCCGTATTAGAGGTCGATTCTTTCCCTGATATTACAAATGTCTTACATACTTCCCTTACCGCACTCTTCACTAACTATTATCCGTTATTTAGGAAGACCCGACCGCTTGAGCCACCTGGTTACTCTTCCCTTGATTAAAACCCACACTGCTAGGAAATCATAAATCTCAGACCCCCGCTGCACCTTGCCCCGACTGCTTGCACACCGCGGAGAGAATACTCCGCATTCTTCAGCGGCCTGTAAGAACCCGCCCCGCGTTAATCAGGGGTCCGAGTCTCCTCTCCCCCCTCTTCCCGTCAGCGAGACCCGGAGTGGAAATAAACAACAATATATACAGTGTCCTCCGACCCCAACTTTATTTACAAACAACGTATACAACCGGTCGTCATGGGGAAGTTGTTGTTGTTCAACCATCCCCAAAGGGCAGATGTGTCTATCTATGACGTGTTTGACGCTCAGGGTACAGACACGTGCATGGGTTATGTATAAACTAAGTATCTACTTAAGAGATAGTTTTCTTCATTTAATCACGTGTCTTATGGCGTACCTAGCCTAATGTATGAAATATGACAAATCGACATATATGTCTATACAAATGTATTAATGTATTGACTTTCGCTCTCTCTCTCTCTCTCTCTCTCTCTCTCTCTCTTTCACACACACACACTCTCTCACACGCACACACTAACACACACACACACACACACACACACACACACACACACACACACGCACGCAGAGAGAAACTGTTTTCTGCCTAATGTATTTTGTTATAAAGTAAGTTACCCCTTTATCTATACACGAATATCAAATGTTTTAGTTGAATTATACAAGTATGTGTAGTAACATGTGGGCCATCGGACATACAGACACAAGACACAAGTAGACTGAATATTTAAATATATGAATATGACATTATCAGATTAGTAGACCTAAATCTTCAGAACTGTAAACTCTGTCAGATTAAGCTACAAGTCTGCCAAAGACCAAGAACCATGCGTTAAATACTTCCTCAACTGATACATATAGCCAGTCTATTGCAGGGGTCAAAGGGCATGTCAATCATGATATAACGGAACATTCATTCTGACTTCCCAAGGTCAACGATAGCTGCCATTTGTAATGGTCATCTGACACTATCCATCTTTAGTGCACGTGCGGTGACCCAAGTCTATCATCTGACCATTCTCTTATCCCCGTTCTCAAACACGAATGACATTTATTCCCAACGAATGCGACCAGCTAATGCATCAGTTACCAACAATAACAGGCATACCTTTGTAGCAAGCCTACAGTCTTTAACAGACAACGCTTTGGACATGCCATGAATTCCGGCTCTCCTCTCGCTATACAATCTACAGACAGACTGGCACTGCATAATGGTAATGTGAGACAGCGTTGGTGAAGGTCGTTGGGGCTGTGTTTCACACAGTTTTGTTCTGCGAGAAGCAATAGTGTTCATTGATAAGTCAGCGTTCAGTTCTATTCGCAGAACATCTGGTTCTGTAGTACCTGCCTGCACGGTTGCCTAGTTACGCAACTCCAATGTCAGAAAGTCCACGAGCTGACGATGTTTGAGGGATGATTATGAGAGGTTATGTTTTATGCATGTAAGCCATACTGTCAGGATGGATAACTCATACCTCTATCTTGAAAAAGGTTTTCCATACAACTTGTGTTTTGTCGTCAGCAGTTATTTTAGATCTGTTCCCACCAGACTCGCGGTGTATCTACATCAACACCGCTTACAAAGCTCCCCTGATTGTAAGGCGTGTTGTAGCCTTGCTGAAAGGCTGAACTGAAATATAAGTCCACGGTTGTGTAGTAATTCCATCTTTCTAATAAGCAAGTCTAGATGTGTTGACAGTCAGGACTCCCGTTTCCTACATGGACAACTTGTTCTCACTATTTACATAATATAGAAATTATGTGGTAAATTAATAATTATTGCCTTCGAAACTTGTGCAAGTCTAGGCGTGTTGGTGCTGTGCAAGATGGTTCTTTTTGTGTGCCGTGCTCTGCATGAACGTCAGTTCTGGCAGATGCCGGAGAGTATCAAGTGATATATTTCAATAGCAACTGTTACCACTGATTATACAGGAGATAGAGCACTATATGCGTTGTAGGTTATATGTCTTGGATTAGAAATACATCTCACTAGATATATAGCATTAGAAATATTGGTGTAGATAATACGGTATATTTCTCTAGCAAATGTTGGTACGAGTGGTATGGCTGTATGGTGCATGATGTATGTGTCTAGCACTAGAAGGATCAGCGTGGCTGTGTGTTCTACATCCACGATACGGTATCATAACTCTGGCAGCAGTTCTACATCTCTGTCCTAACAAGTGCAAACGCCTATAATGAGTGAGTGAGTTGGGTTTAACGCCGCTTTTAGCAGTATTATAGTTATATCACACCAGCTTGATGTTGGAGGAAAGCCCGAAGTGTAGGTCTTAGGTCGCGATTGTATACATTGAGTGAGTGAGTGAGGGAGTGAGTTGGGTTTAACGCCGCTTTTAACATTATTCCAGTTATATCACGGGGTGTCAGCTTAATGTGGGAGGAAAGCCCGAAGTAATTCAAGTCTCAGACGTTTACCACTTCGGTGAAACCCACGAGCACTGGTATGTTGCTGATAAACCTAGAAACATAATTGGGGCGAACCGGGATTCGAACCCACAATCATAGGTTTCTGGCATGCCCAAGGGACGCAACTCTGCACAGCGAATCGCGGCGCCTTAGACGACTGGGCCACCCCTGACCCGTATACGTTGAGGTAACGGTGTATTCATGTGTAGGTGGGAACATGCTCCCTCTTCAGACCAGCATGTGTTACCAGACAATCGTGGTTCAGATATATAACGACATATAACTACATGTTCCCGAAAATACTGGAAAGTTAGTTCAAAAGGATTGTCAGCTTAACCATTCTGTATGTCCAAGAGTGTGACCAAAATGGTTTTTTTCTGTTTCTTCCCAAATTCCAACTCTCGTCAACTACACCCTCACCCCTACTCCATCCCGTTCCGTCCCATAGTAGTTGTATATCGCTTGTGGCCTAGTGGTTACAGCATTCGCTGACCACGTCGATGTTCGATTCCGATTATGTGAAGCGTGTCATTGGTGAAAGCGACGTTAGCCATTTTCACTCACTGTCTCTTGTAATTGTTGCCTCTGTACCAATGAGTAAACTCGTATATTTGTGCTTCAGGTATCGTCGCCGATTGGAGCGTGAACGGTACTACACTCAGGCAGTGGAACTGCCCTCCGCCGCGTCCACAACGACTTCCAACATGGCGGCCACAACGTCGGGGGGGAAACTAGCTCAGGAGATACACGACGAATTTCTCACCTGTAAAATCTGTCTGGAAGGTTTCAAGTCACCGAAATGCCTCGACTGTTTGCACACCTTCTGTGAGCAATGTATCGATAACCATGTGATGTCAGAATGCACCTACAAGAAATACAGCGACTACAGGGAGTTTACCTGCCCTCTCTGCCGGAAACGAACCCAGCTGCCGATAGGGGGCGTGAAGAAACTTCCGGACAACTTCCTGGTTTCAAGTCTGGGCGAGACAATCTCAAGGCAGCGCCCTTCCAAGTTTCCATTTTGCGATATATGCAAGTTGGTGAACCGCAAGCATAGAGAAGCTACCTCGAAGTGTCTGGATTGTAACAAGCTTCTGTGTAAGCAATGCGTCGACCTACACAAGGAGACGAAGGTGACGAAAAGTCACAGTCTGTTTGACGTGGAGATAGAGAAGGACATTGAGTGCAAAGAGCACAAAGATGAGGTAGTCCGCTTCTACTGTGAGCCCTGCGAAGCGTGCATCTGTGTCCTGTGCACATTCAACGAACACAAAGACCACGACATATCACAGTTCTCAGACGCTGTCATAAAGTACAAGGAGGCCATCCAAAGCCTCCTCGGCAACTGCAAGGGCAGGATCGACGTCTACGACGCTCAGCTGACCCTCCTCAGTAAATGCGAGACTGTCATCAAGGCTGCCGAACAAAAGATTCGAGACGTAGCGATCCAGTTCATCAGCGAGATCAGGAACAAAGAGAAGGTTCTGATCGACGACCTGCATACACTGTACGGCAAGGAACTGATGGAATACGTGTCCAGGAGGTCAGAGATGCAGGCAAACCTCGATGGCTTAAAGAGCACCTGCAGCCTCACCGAGTTGGTCCTGAAGGGCAAGGACATCGAGCTGCTCCTCCTCAAGAAACAGGTGCAGGAAAAACTTTCCTGTTTGTCGGATATCGAAATCAAGGACCTGCCCAAAACGGTCAGCAAGGTCGTGAACTTTAACCCCGGAACCTTGGATATAGGCATGCTGGAGGATGCCGATAATGTGAATCAGAAACTACCGTCACAGAGGCCTCAAGCTGGTAAGACAGAGTTGCACATCAAGACGACGGAAACACAGACAGACGCGCCTGTCAAGGTACAAATGTGCAATAGATGCCTACAGACGGACGTTCCTCAGGAGCCTGAGCCATCTCCAACCATTGACAAGTATATAGCAACGGATTCTATCGACACCTCGGAGAAAGCCGTCAACACAAGATCTCGTTACAGCAACCAGGTGAGGGAAGACACGCCCCCGGAAGTGACGTCACCAGAACCGACGTCGTCTCCCATCCCCCGGAGACACCGTCGACGCAGAGAGCGCCCGCGTCCCGTGGAGGTATCAGTTAGGCCGACAACCAACTCGCCCGAATACACGCCGTATTCGTTCAGCAGCAGCATCGACGACAATTTTTACGACGCCTCCAGCAACAGCAACGCGACATCGTCGCCGGTGTAGGTCAAACAAGTAAACCAAGTTACACAAAGAAAAAAAGTATTAAGTTTAACACTCCAACTTTACGTTTCGAACACGCTGTCGTTTCGAAGTGGTCACGTGGCTTGTCACGTGACCACAGTCACGTTATGAACTTTTGAAGCTGTGTGAAAGTTCGAGTTAAAGCGTACCATGTCTAGAAGGGATGGTGTGATGTATCCGTGAAATGTTTCGTGTCAGAATGAGTGAAGCAACTGGCATTCAGCATATCAACCCCTGTACATAATGTATGTAGTGACACGTATTTGTATCTATACGACTAAGTTACCGTAATTTATTCATTCTGTATTATCATAAATCAAAACCGTTTCGAACTATATATACTAGTATCACTACCACAGCGTCAACAAATCCTCAAAAGGAAGAGGTTCCAATGGAACGGACACTTGTGAAAAATAACAGTCCAGGAATATTTTCTGGCATGTGTTCAGATGTGCACTACGGAGAGACGACCAGTTTCGTTGTTTTTATGTATTTTATTTTCTACAGATTCTTCTAGTGCTCTGTGATATACACAATCAAAAGAAATGAGGCGCTATGGCTGAATTTAAATGTACGCTCGTAGACAGACGGAACGAATACGTTCAAACAACTCGTGATATTGACCAGTGGATTAAAATGTGTTTACATCAGCATGACGTCACAAAATGTACTGACGTTCTTCGTCAAGCAGATGACGTCACGTTATACGTTAGATATAACGTTATTGAGGACATTTTGTGTTGATGTATGATATATACCGTGTTAGGATGACGTCATCATGACGTATGGTTCGTTGGTAGAGATGACTGGGGAATGTTAGCCGCGTTGCTGCTGTGACGTATGGGAAACTACTGCTACACAAACACTGGTATTATGTGATAGTTCCAAAGATAACGTACTTTATCCCTCTTAAGATGCAAACAGTATTATCTCCCTGATACAGGCGACACAGTTGCCTGTGTACATCACCTCCTCCAGTCATAGTCCTCCACAATGTTCGTTTTACAATCAAATCTATATTTTGATTAAGAAAATATTATGTTCATTAGAAACATCAATGGGTTTTTTTCATTTAAGTAAGCTACCGAAAGCAAAATTATTTTCATGAGTGATAAGGTTTTAAAAAAATAGTAATTTTTTCATAAAAAGCTACGCAATTCCTCTGTTTTAATACCCCTTCAGAGTGAGAAATAATTGACCAAAGGCGTGAGACCGAACGTGTGTAAAATAAATATGATGCTGTGATGTAGCATAACAAAAGTCTTCTGTATTTATTTTTTTCGATGGATTTCATTATTATTTTGGTTCAAGGTGCCATGGGGCTGGCGCTGTTTTAGCTTACGAGGCTCCCCCATGCATGACTTTCTCCCTGTGGGGATTTCGGAGCAGCTTTGGACCCCTTCACCCTAGGCGTTTCTCATCGTGCGGACAGAATAGGCCCCCAGCATGTGTCTTCCCCTTGGGAGATTCAGGGGCGGGGAGCTTCAGCTACCCAGACTGGAACACGAAACATCGGCACCAAACCACCACAGGTTCACCTCAGTCCATGTTCGTTACCTCGGCCAGCACTGGAAGGAATCCATATTGGAACTATTTCGAATCACGTGACACAGCAACGCCTTCGCAGCTGTGAAAGTTTGTGTTTGGTTGTCGTCAAATCAAAGTGTTTGCATAATTTCTGTCAAAACCACAAGTTTCATAATATCGGCCGCAATGTTGCACGAACGATATGTTACAGCGGTACTTGCATGTTCCCGAGGCAAGGGAGATCACTGACTTTTACATTCAGTCAATTCCCTTGCCTCGGGAAGATGAGAGGAAATATGCCGACTGACCAGTAGATCTGACCAGGGTCTCCACATGACTGACGAGATCATGCAGGACCAGAGAACGGTAAGACCTAATCACAGGCCCAGCGGGGGTCACGGGTGGCACAGTCTAAGGCGCCGCGATTCGCTGTGGGTTCGAATCCCGGTTCGCACCGATTATGTTTCTAGGTTTGTCAGCACCATATCCGTGCTCGTGGGTTTCACCGAAGTGGTAAACGTCCGAGACCTGCATCACTTCGGGCTTTCCTCCCATATTAAGCTGACACGCCGTGATATAACTGGAATACTGTTAAACGCGGCGTTAAACCCAACCCGACCCATTGACAGTAGCTTTCAACCTGTTGAACTGTGGTTAGATTCAGTGCCTCGATTACACAGTACAATTATAAGGACGTATGTTGGCGACTACAACTCCAACATCTCTGTCACATCTCCATGGAGTGAGGCAGTGGGTGAGTGAGTGAATGAGTGAGTGAATGCTGCTTTACTCTGCATCACGTAAATATTCTGGTTGGTTGTTAACACCGCACTCAACAAAAGTCCAACTAAATGACGGCAGACTGTAAGTAATCGAATCTGGACCACACAATCCAGTGATTGATACTATGAGCAACGGGGTACGAGGATAGGCTGCTTGGCAACTATTCTAACCCGGATTTCCCGCGGGAGGTTAAATCTATTAGCGGCACGTGGACTAGTGAGTGAGTGGGCGGGGTATAACGCCTCTTTGATTAGAAACCCGGTGAGACCTCGCGGGTATGGTGCTGACATCCCATAATTAGAACAACCACCGAACACAGGTACGGCAAAAGAGACAAACCTAGAAACATAATCGGGGCGAACCGGAATTCGAACCCACGATCATAGGTTTTCTGGCCTGCCCAGGGGACGTAACTCTGCAAACCCGTGCCCCCTCTCTTCATGGACATCGCATACACAGGATGTTAAGAAAACAGTGATTTTGTTAAAAAATTACTTTTCTCGCAAAAATGATTAAATATCACCAACGTTTTTAAATATAACAATTTTGGACACATTTTGTGCTTTAAAGATGATCTAAACTCGTGTTTAGGATTATCGTACATCTCGAAGTGATTCCGCGGGAGTATCGATCAGCTTATGTCGTTAATTTGTTTGTGAATTTGTTTTCACAACAAGATGGTTGGTGCACAGGTTCCAGTAAAATAAAAACGAGTTTGCTGTTGACCTGCCAAGCATTATAATGAACACGGGATTTGAACCCAAACCCAGACCATCATGGCAGGGGCACGTCATAAACAACTAGGCCACCACCATCCCACAACCACTCGATATTCTTATGTTAAAAAAAGAACAACAAAAATCAGCATTTACCTCCACTTCTGAAACAACTGATACAACATCGTTAACGGTGAATCTTGCAAATGATTAGTCAGTGTGTTAGCAAGAAAGCATCTCCATGCAAATCCAATACAAATCTATGAACAATGTGTTTTCCAGTTTGGGTTGAATACATTAATGTGACGCATTTGAACACTCCCAAAGCCCTGGCGGTTTTGCATTCAAACGTTGTGGACCTAATATTATATTTTACAGCCGCTTCTTGCAATGCTGCTGCACACAGCCTTGAAGGCAATTTGGGATTAAGTGTCGCAACAAGTAAATATTGATCTATCTAATAAATGACATGATCCTACTTAACCGTTCTAAATATGCTAGGTAAGCTCTTTCAGTTTGATATCGCTTTCTATTTTTACTGTATGGTTAGTTATTTACAGACCCCATACCACTATCAGCGTTAAAGTCTCCAACCGCTTGTGAAGCGTCCAGCTATCATCACCTTTACACATGACGTGACCTCTATAAGGCAGTGACAGTTGAAGACAGCATGCTTGATCCAAGCAATGGTATCTGCCAAAAGCGTCAACGGAATGTAGATATCAACACGATACCAACAGTGAGTGAGTGAGTATGGTTTTACGCCGCTTTTAGCAATATTCCAGCATTATCACGGCGGGGGACACCAGAAATGGGCTTCACACATTGTACCCATGTCGGGAATCGAACCCGGGTCTTCGGCGTGACGAGCGAACGCTTTAACCACTAGGCTACCCGACCGCCCCCGACACCAACAGAAGCCATGTTGAATTGATATTGTCCTTCTGACACATTACCCAGACTACGCGAGTGAGTTTAACGCCGCTTTTAGTAATATTCCATATATATCACGGAAACATACATCAGAATGAGGCTTCACATACCAGAAAGAGGCTTCACACACCAGAAAGAGGCTTCACACACCAGAAAGAGGCGCCACAAACCATACTCACGAGGGGCTTGACGAACCAGGGCTTTAGCTATTGGTGGGGTGGGATGGAGTTAGTGGTGGACCAATTCATCACGGTGACACCCCGGTTTGCAGACACCCCAGTTTGCAGGCACCCCAGTTTGCAGGCACCCCAGTTTGCAGACACCCCAATTTGCAGACACCCCAGTTTGCAGACACCCCAGTTTGCAGACACCCCAATTTGCAGACACCCCAGTTTGCAGACACCCCAGTTTGCAGACACCCCAATTTGCAGACACCCCAGTTTGCAGACACCCCAGTTTGCAGGCAGGCACCCCAGTTTGCAGACACCCCAGTTTTCAGACACCCCAATTTGCAGACACCCCAGTTTGCAGACACCCCAGTTTGCAGGCAGGCACCCCAGTTTGCAGACACCCCAGTTTGCAGACACCCCAATTTGCAGACACCCCAGTTTGCAGACACCCCAGTTTGCAGGCAGGCACCCCAGTTTGCAGACACCCCAGTTTTCAGACACCCCAATTTGCAGACACCAAAGTTTGCAGGCAGGCACCCCAGTTTGCAGACACCCCAGTTTTCAGACACCCCAATTTGCAGACACCCCAGGTTGCAGACACCCCAGTTTGCAGACACGCCAGTTTGCAGACACGCCAGTTTGCAGACACCCCAGTTTGCAGGCACCCCAGTTTGCACACACGCCAGTTTGCAGACACGCCAGTTTGCAGACACCCCAGTTTGCAGGCACCCCAGTTTGCACACACGCCAGTTTGCAGACAGCTCATAACAAAAGACAAGGTTGAGTGCACTGCAATTAACTGCTTTCCCATCTTTTCATTGACATGATATCGTCCACAGAGATCCCAGTTTGCAGAATTGTCAATAAACTACATTAAACACGAGTTTCTCCATATTATTATTGTCATTCATATATTCATATTAGAACAGATATCCAACATCCAACGTACCGTATAATAGCACTCAGGATTATCATCGATTTGAAAAACTGACATTATGTTTTGAACTTGAGTCTTTTTCCTCATGCTTTTCCCATCAGTCTGCGTTTAATCTGAACTGTGTTTCTAACTAGTATACTTATGGATAAAACCCCATTCTCGGTGTAAAGGAATCATCGGGGCGTATCTTCATCGCTTTGTTCAGAAGGGGGAGTAGAATCATAAAGACTGTACGATTCACTGACCAATACTACTGACACTGATTCACATATTTCCACTTCATCACAAACCAGGGCGGTCGGGTAGCCTAGTGGTTAAAGCGTTCGCACGCCACGCCGAAGACCCGGGCTCTATTCCCGACATGGGTACAATGTGTGAAGCCCATTTCTGGTGTCCCCCGCCGTGATATTGCTGGAATATTGCTAAAAGCGGCGTAAAACTATACTCACTCACTCACTCACTCATCACAAACCATTAACGATAAAAACTAAAACAAACTTTACTATTGAAGTGTGTCAAGTCCCTACCAGCGACGTTTTTGCAAATATTAGAAATGATATGTATTTTTACATCCGTGTTCATCTGTTTTTCCTGGAGCATATTTGTGTAAGCAATGTTTTGCTTGTTTACCAATCCAGATTTCATTTATGAAAAACTATGTTTAAATCAACGCTAGCCATGATTGTGAAGTGATTTGATTTGACCATATCATTATATAGCAAATATTGTAAAAACATCTTGACCAAATAAAAAGATTTTACTCAAGTACTGCTAATCTCATTATGAGAAAGCTTATTTTAATAATCCTTTTGATGTCAGTTAAGTGTTGTAATGCCTTTCACTTAGACCTGATGATAAAGCCTCTGATCCAAGCATATATGGCACAATTCTCATTCCTCTTCATTGTAACAAAATCTAAACAGATAAAATCTGTATTTTTGGAAGGCTTACGACAGTCGTAGCGCTAAGATAATCGTAACCCCCAATCCCTAACGCAGGGTTACGACAGTCGTAGCGCTAAGATCACTTTGTGCACGTGGGCCCTGGACTGTCACATTGCCGCCATTACCACTCCGCCACGTGTCTGAGTGGAGGAGAAATCTTTCAGAAACTGTTTTTAAAAAAAAACGAATTTGTGAATATTTTATGTCCGTTTCAGTACTTTTACCACCTGTGACATCAGAGTGTT